CAAGTCAGGCCAACATGTGACCTAAGCCCTCAGGGCTCGCACCGTTTCTGGCATTTTGATTCTTTATGACCTACACCGCATCCCGGTCAAGGTCGATCTTCTTGGCGCGGAGGATACCCTGGATATAATGTGACACACAGGTCCAATTGTCCTCACCCTCCGTCATAATCGGTATGACCGTGTCCACCGACAGCAGTCCTATTAACTGTTGAGCCTCCAGGCGGGGCCTTTCCCAGCGCTGGCAGTGGAAAAATGTATGTTCCACGTCATCGAGAATGCCTGGGCAGTATATGCAGTCGGGAGACACGGCTTTGCCCATCCTGAACAGGTACGACCGGAAAAAACCGTGTCCCGTCAGAAATTGGGTGAGGTAAAAGTCCACCTCTCCGTACCGCCGATCAACCCAAGGTTGGACTTGCTGAATCAGTCGCCTGGTCCAGAGTCCCCGTGTCTCCTGTTCCCAGCCCTCCTGCCACAGCTGGTAGGTGCGGGTGCGTTCCTCTGTTCGTGCCTCGTCCTCCCCGCGGCGCCGGTAAATTGCCTTTCTCTCCGCCGCCAAAAGTTTGACGGGGATGACTCCAGCAATCACCAGGACGGCGGGCTCGGACACTGTTCGGTAGGCAGATGCTACCCTCAGTGCTGCCTGACGCTGCACTCGGGCGAGCCGCATCCTGTATGCCTCCTTATTTAGTGCGTCTGCCCACACCTCCGCACCGTACAAGAGTACGGACTGGACCGAAGACATTAACAGCCTTCTACGACTGGACCGAGGCCCTCCGACATTGGCCATCAACCGGCTAAGAGAAGAAACCACCCTAGCGGCCTTGTCCGCTGTTCGGAAGATCTGATCCCGCCAGCTAAGCTTGCTGTCTACCATGACCCCAAGATACTTGGCAGAACGAACAGTTTGAACCTCGACGGCTCCCACCCTCAACGGCACGATGGTGTCAATCCGTTTTTTTGTCAAAATCACGATCTCGGTTTTGCTCAGAGCAAGTGAGAGACCGTGGTCTGCCATCCATGCGTTTATGGTACGCATAACTCGGTTTAGCTTTAGCTGAGCCAGCTCAACGCTACGTGCAGCTATCAAAGCTGCAACGTCGTCTGCGTACCCAACCAAGACCGTTTCCTCAGGCATTTCAGACCTCAGAAGGCTGTCATAAGCGACGTTCCAGAGGTCTGGGCCGAGTACGGAACCTTGGGCAGCACCAGAAGTGACACTCATCGTCCGCGGGCCCTCCGCAGTGTCATACGTTAGGAGGCGAAACCGGAGATAATCCTCTATGATGCGCATGAGGTATGCCGGCACGTGGAAGGTGTTCTCCAGAGCGTCCAGCATATCGCACCACCTCGCCGAATTAAATGCATTTCGCACATCGAGCGTTACGAGCAGCACAACCCTGCGAGAGTAGTGGTTAAAATCCTCAGCTCTCATCACTGCTTGCTTCACCTCCTCAATCGCATCAATCGTTGATCGCCCCGTCCTGAATCCATACTGACGAGGGGAGAGGTCCCCCGCAGCGACAACGGCTGAATTCAGCCGGGAACGGATCAATTTCTCGAGGACTTTGCCAGCCGTATCCAACATACACAGAGGTCTGTAAGAGGATGGCAGATCTGGGTCTCCCTTGCCCTTCCCAACAAGCACAAGCCTAGCTGTCTTCCAGCACAAGGGGAAAACCCCTTCGACCAGGCAGGCGTTGTACATGCTCAAAAGGATCAAGGGGTTGGTAGTCAAAACCTTCTTGAGGACTTCACCGGGTACCCCATCAGGACCAGGAGCCTTGTTGTTCTTCAGGGATATGACGGCCGCCACCAGCTCTTCAGGGCTGAAAAGTGGGACGTCGTCCACCCTTCCGAAATCCCGCAGTGGTCGCAACGCGTGAGCCGGGAAAAGGGACTCGACTATCCTCTCCATAGTGACCCTGTCCATAACGGAAGGTGGAGAGCGGGTTCCAAGTTTCTTGGTTACAAGTTTGTAACCCAGGCCCCACGGGTTGGAATCAACATCGTCCCTTAATTTATCCCAGCAACTGCGTTTACTCCGATTGATGGCTCGACGAAGATACCTCCTAGCCGCCCTATAAGCATCCGACTTACGCCGTCTGTCTAGGGGTTCTCTAGCCCTGGTAGCAAGTCTTCTGGCTCTCAATGCTGCTCGTCGCAATTCCGCAATCTCGGCAGTCCACCAGTACACAGGACGCTTATTGCACCGGTATCTCCTGCGAGGCATAGATTCATCGCAGGCCGAGACAATCAGTTCCACCGTGGATGCAACTAACGCCTCTGCGTGAGGCACGCCAGTTGCGGGATGAATATCCGGCGTTCTTCGTAGGATGGCTCCATTGAATTTTGCCACGTCCAGTTTTTTAATGTTCCATCGAACGGGCACTTGACGAAACGCTGCCACTTGTCTCTGATGACCATCCAGGACGTCAAAAATTATGTACTGGTGGTCACTGCCCGTGTAATCCTCCAGGACTCTCCAGGATCTGATCCTTGGCAAAAGGGACTCAGATGCAAGGGTAATGTCTGGGATCGTCCCCCGCATCCCAGGGCGGCGGAAAGTTGGCGTGTTGCCCTCATTCAGTACAACGAGTCCGGCTCTGGCAGCAAAGTCCAGAATATACTTGCCCCGGGAGTTGGTGAGGGTCATTCCCCACTCGACAGCCCTAGCATTAAAATCCCCACCCACGACGACGTGTCCGGTGGTATCGCGCACGCTCTCTTCTAGGCGGTCTATCTTCTCACGAAAGTCACGGATGGCCTCGTTGGGAGTAAGGTAGACACTGAAGTAAGTGACATCCCTGCACCGAACCCAAACGAAACCTCGGCCATTCGCGTGACCCCGCACTTGTACTTTAGCTGCATTACGAGCCCAGAATGCAGCAGTACCAAGACTATCAGGGAACCATAAAGATGGGTCCCTATCTCGATACTGGTACTGTTCGCTGATTAAGAGAGCGTCGACATCGTGTTCGAGGGCAAACTGACAAAGAAGTGCGTCAGCCGTCCTGGATCGCTCCAGATTGCACTGAAGAATTCTTATCTTAGTCATTTGATGAAGTAGACATGGTGTTAATTTTTGTTTTTAAGATATTTCAATTGCTAGATTAACCTAGAAGTCCACTTTGTATCCTCGAACGAACATGAGGTGCAGAGCTACCGCCAGAACAGAGCCAAATAACACGTAATGTCACGACCAAAGTTTCACGACCATCGCGGGTTTTTTTCACGACCAATCCAGCCTGTGTTTGGTCGTGATAATAACTTAAATATCATTGTAAATTGAACAGTTAGTTTAGTTCAATTGAAACACATATTTTTATTATAACTAACACTACTAACAGTATAATTGAAGGATTGTTTAGAAAGATTTAGATTATTTCAGACAATTCACGACTGTACCGCTTGTCCCTGACCATCACGTTTATGATTTCTATCATATAAATTTCAAAAATTAAAATATCATCATTCGGCTGATTTAAGTGAAAACAGAATAATAATAAGAAGGGAAGACATGCCTTAAATATACAATGTAGATAATATAATTAGAAATTAGTAGCCTACTTCTGGACAGGCCTAGACAATAATCCATACCGTGGTTAAAAGTGTACTTCTATAAGCCCAGGTAATTAATTATTTACTTATTACGGTTGCAACTGGACGTATGTATGGATAGTCCTTGGCTTGGCAATCAAATAACAGTATTTATATAGGATAGGCTGCTGTTATCAACATTTGGAATTACTGAAATGTTACCAAATTACTGTTTCACAAAATGTAGATTCCATTTTCAGGCGAGCCATTAAAATGAGGATTTGCCGAACAATTATTAATATTACAGAATAGTATTTAATGATATACAACTTTTTACATTTCATAAATTATATGCTAGTTTTGCTATGGTCAAAGGTCCAAATCCAAATGTTCTTTTCATTTGGTTTTTATGTAGTAATTTGCTAGAATCATTGACTTTATATAAAGTCAATGCTAGAATAGGCCTACTGCAGATGGCTTGTTAAGACCATAATGCAAGCATTTTTGAAATCGTTTCCTGTACTGTCTTAAAACAGATATATTAATTTAAATAGTTTTCAGCTGACTTAATTGTTTTTTTGTTTTTGTTTTTGTGTTGTTCATGATTTTGAAATGGAAGTAAAAACTATGTACTGTAACATAATGTTAGAGAGCCTAAGTAAGAAGAAGATTGCGTGACGACGTCTTCAGCAAACATGTCGTGACGTGCTGATGCGACTTGGGATGTTAGCTTGGGTATTACACCATTATTGACATTTTATATTTAAAACTGTTAAATGGCGACGAGGATGAGGAGGAGGAAGGGTGAGAGACACCAGGAGCTAGTAGAAGAAGGTATATTAACACCCAGTCAACCTATTTTCTGAGACATGGAGTTCATACATGGTAAGGCTAGACAACTTTTTTGACCTAAACGGAATCACGTCAGAATTAAAGAAAAAACAGTATTTGATCAATTTGTTGGCACCTAAAGTATTTCACGACCTGAGAATCAATCTAAGCCCATGTGACATTGAGGATAAAAGTTATGACGAAATTATTGAAGCTTTACAATTATTACTGGAACCTAAGGGAAGTATTATTGCAGAACAACATAAGTTCACTAAACGAATCCAGAATCCGAGTGAATCTGTAGGCAGCTTCGCCAAAGATCTGAAAACCTTAGCCAGTAAATGTGATTTTAAATGTCCAAAATGTAATGCATCAACATCTGACGTTCATCTGCGGCAACAGTTTATTTTGGGCATTCATGATGGAAAATTGCTGTCTAGATTAATTGAAATTCACGAAAATTAAACGTTTAACCAATGTCTTGAAATAGCAAGTAACTTTGAGCGAATCAAAAGTGAAACAACGAAAATCCAAGAATCAAATTTGCAATCAAAAGTTGGAGAACAAATTCGAGGGAAGAAAAGCGCTGGATATTTGCAAGGAAAGGGTAGTAACATATCATGTTTCAGGTGTGGGGGACACCATCACATAAGTGCGTGCGAAATTCCAGCAGACATCAAATGTTGGAATTGTGAGAGGAAAGGACATCTCAGCAAAGTTTGTCGGAGAAAGAAACAAAACATGCGACAAGCTGATGATGCTTCGACAGGAAATGAGTATGAAGAGGAAGGTGAGTGTCAAAATCCACCTTTTATGTCAATGTTATCCATTGTGGATAGAAAGAAGAAATGTACTAAATTGTCTAAGCTCTCAGATGATGCATATCAACCCGAAATGGTAAACAGGCCGGGAAAGATTATGTTAGAGTGCACCATTGACGATAAGCGTAACTCTTTTGAGTTAGATACTGGTGCTGCGGTCAGTACTATACCGCTGCATCTGTTTAAGAAATTATTTCCAGGTAAGATTCTAAATAGAACAAGAATTCCGTTAAGAACCTATAAATAATTCAATAATTCAAAAAATACTGTAATAATAAATAATAATTAATAAATAATATATAATTAATTTATAATAAATAATAAATAATAATAAATAATGTAATAATTCTGTAGTTTTGTAATAATTCTGTAATAAATACTGTAATAATTTAAGTACTGAAATAATTCAAAGGATACTGTAAATTCTATATCTTCCAAAGTTGATTTATGTGCCGTCTCCATAGCATGTCATCAACAGCAATGGAGTACATCACTCTTCCAATTCTTTTCTTTATTTCGCCTTTTCTCCAAACAATTTTGCCATTTTTCACCATTTCTCTTACCAAAACATGTTCACCTTCTTTGAACTCTCTTATGGTTCCTTTGAAAGATGTACATCCTTGTTGGGCTGTGCGAAAGGTAGGTTTCAACGTTGACTCTAGTGAAGGTCTCAACACATCTAACGAATTCCGCAGTTTTCTTCCATTAGGACCTGTCTCAAATCAATACGTTTTACTGGTTGTAGATTCATTCTCTAAATGGTTAGAAGCCTGTCCCATGACACAAGCAACATCAAAGAAAACCATAGAGTTTTTGGAAGATATCTTTGCAAGATTCGGCCTACCTTATACATTGTTGAGTGACAATGCTTCGATATTTAAATCAGAAGAGTTTAGTAATTACTTAAAACATAATGGTATTATTCACAGAACCATTGCACCCTATAATCCGCAGAGCAATGGTCAAACAGAACGCTATGTGCAAGAAGTGAAAAGGTACTTAAGAAAAGAAGTGGACACAAATGGAAACCTAAAAGAAAAACTTCTTAAAGTTCTTTCATCTCACAGACATCAACAACAACAAAAAGTCCGGCAGAGTTGATGTTTGGAAGAAAACTGCGGAATTCGTTAGATGTGTTGAGACCTTCACTAGAGTCAACGTTGAAACCTACCTTTCGCACAGCCCAACAAGGATGTACATCTTTCAAAGGAACCATAAGAGAGTTCAAAGAAGGTGAACATGTTTTGGTAAGAGAAATGGTGAAAAATGGCAAAATTGTTTGGAGAAAAGGCGAAATAAAGAAAAAAATTGGAAGAGTGATGTACTCCGTTGCTGTTGATGACATGCTATGGAGACGGCACATAAATCAACTTTGGAAGATATAGAATTTACAGTATCCTTTGAATTATTTCATGGGGGAAGAGTTTGTACTGTCTTAAAACAGATATATTAATTTAAATAGTTTTCAGCTGACTTAATTGTTTGTTTGTTTTTGTTTTTGTGTTGTTCATGATTTTGAAATATATTTAAAACTGTTCATTTCCCCGTTTAACCAACTATTCCAAAAGATAAAAATTATATGGTGATAACATATTAAATATATGTTTAACTATTTCTCAAAGTATAACAGGTGACACACAAATAAACAATCCGATCACCTATCTATAACATACACTTTACCTTCCTAGTCTAACCTTACTTCAAAACACTTAATGTAGTCACGAATACTCATAAACCCCGACCTACCTTCCCCACATGCCTAAATTAGATCAATGTTCAATCTGCGTTTTATTAATAAGTGTAATAACTTAATGCACCGTCGATGTAATTCAACATAATATAACCTGTGAGGTATTATCGGATTAAATATCGATTTCAGTGCGGTTCGATATATCGCTTATTAAATCCTGATTTCCAACATTGGCTGTTTCTAATCAGCTGGCAACACAAATAGGTTCCCAAGAAAGTAGTCACCGGTACGTATCCCTCCGCTCCTTGTTTATGCTCCGCGCATTGAGAAGTAGTTCCGTATATTTTCTCAATTTTCAGTGCCTTAAAAAAATGTTTAAACGGCATTTTCTTGTTTAATAAAATCATAGGAATGGTTTAAAAACGTTTAAAAGTCTAGAAAGTTCAGAAATACCTTATGATTCTCTTGTTTACATTTTTATCGTAAACAAAAAAACTGTCATGGCTACTTTAGTCCCATAAGCCTAATGTTAAATATTGGAAATTATAAGTTCGTTTTAAATTGCATTAGCATTATCTAATTGAAATTTGTTTGTTTAAAAACCATCCCACTATTAGTCTAAGTAATTTTGTTAAGTTTGGCTGAAATGAGTTCAGCCGTTATTGAGTGATGTTTCTCTATTTATTTTATTTATTTATTTTTTTACAGAATGCCATTACATCATAAAATGACAGGACATTTGTCAATGCATTATAATACTTAAATCTAAATAGTAATAAATCCAAATAAAATAATTTCAACACTTAACCCTCCCAATTTCCACTTAAAAATTCATTTAAAGAATAAAATGTTTTTGTCAATAACCATTCTTTACATTTTTGTTTGAACTTTTTTGGATTTGCAATGTTTTTTAAATGATCAGGAATCAAGTTATACAATTTTGGTCCAATATATTGAGGTGATGCTTCAAATAGTGATAATCTATGGCTAGTGGGCTTAATTAGGTTCTTATGTCTAGTGTTATACCTATGGTTTGTGTGACCCTCCCTGAAAATGGACAAATTGTTGAATACCCAAAACAATGCTTCTAAAATATACAGGTCATAAAATGTTAAAACGCTAAAAGCCTGAAAGATGACTTTGCACGGACTTCTTCGGGGTACTTTAGCTATGATTCTAAGTGCCTTCTTTTGAAGCCTAAAAATCTTCTTACCATGGCAAGAATTTCCCCAGACAAGTATTCCGTATGACATTAATGATGAAAAATATGAATGATAAACTGTTAATTGAGTTTTAGTATCTGTAACTTGAGAAATTGTTTTGAGAGAAAATATTGCTGAAGAAAGTTTTTTCCGTAGTTTGTCAATGTGAGGAAGCCAGTCAAGATTTTCGTTTATATGAATACCCAAAAAATTGACTGTCTCCTCAGACATTAACTGATGATTTGTAAAAGTGGTCTGTTTTAAACTATTTCTATGATCTGATCGAAAATTAACTACTTGAGTCTTGTCCATGTTCAAGGAGAGCCCATTTACTCTAAACCAGTCACTTAAAGCAGCCAATTCTGTATCTACTGTGTGCTGAAGGGATTCAACATTGGGTCCCTTACATAACAGCATTGTGTCATCAGCAAATTGAAATACATCCATCTTTAACACATTTGGTAGGTCATTTACATAAATAAGAAATAGACAGGGGCCCAATATTGATCCCTGAGGCACCCCTACTTCAACTTTTTCCCAATTAGAATTTAAAGTATGTCCAAATTTGATAATTTTAGTCCTTTGATATCTATCCCTCAAGTATGTAGAAAACCAATTTAGTTCCTTGTTTTTTATTCCATATTTTTCAAGTTTGTCTATTAACAAACTGTGATGAACACATTCAAAAGCTCTGGTTAAATCACACAGAACTCCAGTTGTCTTCTGAGATCCATCCAAGGAACTCGCAACACAGTTTACTAATTTAGTCATTGATTGTTGAGCACTTAATCCTTTTCTAAATCCAAATTGGGAATCATTAAAAATATTATTATCTTCTAAAAAAGTTCTCAATTGTAGGTCAACACATTTTTCGAATATTTTAGATATACTTGAGAGCATAGCTATTGGGCGGTAATTTTCTAAAGTGTTTTTATCATTTTTCTTATGGAGTGGTAAAATTTCGGAGTATTTTAGTTTGTTTGGGAAAATACCGTGCATTAAGGACTGGTTTATGAGATTACAGAGAGGAGTTTGTATTTCATTTATTACATGCTTAAGTAAGAACAATGGAATCTGATCCCAACCGACAGATCTTGTGTTATTTAAGGAAAATACAATTTTCCTTACTTCTGATTCGGTAATTAGTTTGAATTTAAATGTATTTTTGTAGTACTTTGAATCTATAAAATTCAGAGCCTCTTTGGCTTTAGGACTACACCCTACTGATGTATGTGCAGATAGAAAATGGTTGTTGAAATTATTAGCCAAATGTGTAAGTTTCAAGGAATCGTTTTGAACATGATAAGGTAATTCAGATTTTTCCTTTTGTTGTCCAAGTTCCCTTTTAACAATCTCCCATGTTGCTGTGGTCTTATTAAGAGAATTTTTAATGTAATGATCATTGTATTTCTTTTTAGAGAGTTCAATTGTTTTTTTGAATATTTGCCTGTATGTTTTTACATAATCTTGGAAGTCCTTAGACTTATTCCATCTTGACTCGATATGGAGAAGCCGTTTTCTTTCAGCGGATATTTTTATACCAAGTGTAATCCAGTTTTTGGATGCATGTTTAACAGAATTACATTTTGATTGTTTAAGAGGGAAAGCTTGATTAAAATTTTTCAGGATGCAATCTAAAAAGCTATTATAATTTGTATTTACAGTTTCAAAAGGATTAAATTTCCAATCTGATTCAATAAGACTATTTTTGAAATAATTTAAATTTTCTGAATTAAATGACCTTTTAAAAGAAACATTTGATCTTTTTAAAGCTGAGGGGGGTGGTTTTAAGTCAGCTAGTGATAATAGTATTGCTTCATGATCAGATGCACCTGCATTGATAATTTGGGTTTCAGCTTTATCTGAAATCAATTTCATGTTAGAAAATATGTTATCAATGCAAGTTTTGGAGGTTGGAGTTATTCTTGTTGGTTGAAAAAAGTGATATTTTAACCCAAACTGATAACAAAGGTATTGTAAACTTCTTGATCGGTTATTGTTTTTTAGAAGATCGATATTATGGTCTGAAGCTATTAAAATGTTTTTTGACTTAGACTCATGCCAAAGTTTAGACAAAAGACAGTCAAATTTCTCAAAAAATATGTCATCAATGTCCAGATTTGGTATACGATAGATTGAAATAAATAATGTATTCCATTCACAAACTTCTACAAAACTACATTCAAAATTATTTTCTTCATTTAAAAACTTGAGATCATCTCTTTTTTTAAATTCAATTTCTTGAGATAACAAAAGAGCTGAGCCTCCTCTAAGTTTTCTGTCTCTACAAAAATAGTCAGCTACTTTAAAACCACTTAACTTATTTAATACATTAATATTAGATTTGTTTAACCAATGTTCATTCAGAGATATTACTTTTATGTTGTTGCTACTATTCTCCAGTAAAAAACACAGATCTGTAGAATGATTACAAAAACCTTGAATGTTCAGATGTAAAAACCAAAAGTTATTACTATTATTACTTGTATGCCTTACTTTGTTCCTAAGAGTGGAAATTGGGTCATGTTCCCTAAAAAAGGTGAAATATTTATAAAAGAGCTAGGTCTATTAGTATCATACATGCTTAAATTACTAGTTATGTAGTCCAGTTTCTCAGTTGTTGGTGTATTGAATCCTTTAAAAGGTGATAAAGGTTCACGTGATGGTGGAGTGCTGCTGGAGTCTGGAGTTGCATCTGAGTTGGTCGGGGTACTTGAATTGCTTTCTGCTCCATTTACGCACTCACTTACACTGGACTGGCTTTTATCACTCACTTCAGGTGTTGCTGTTGCTCTGTTGCTTCTGGGGTGTTGTGGTGACAGGGGCAAGTGATGAGTGTGAGGCTATCAGATTTTCCAAAGTCTTTACAAACTCGTTGTGCGAAAGTCCTCTCCAAAGTCTTCGTTTCGCCTTTTGGTCAGAAGAAACTATAATGACTCGTGCCCCGGTTCGCTGGTGAAAATGGATAATATTTTTTATAAAATGTTGAGGCTTTATCAAGTCCCTAACACAACCCATAGCTGAACAGATTAGGGTTGAAAATTTGTTTGCCACAAAATCTGTTTCAAGCTGGTGAAATGCTTCATCGTAGTCTGCTTCATTTGGCTTCCCATTTGTTGCATTGAAGTTGATCCCAAAGAGCTTCGCTCAATTAAAAAGATTTTATTGGCTTCTTTTAATTTTTTGAGTTTTTTATTTTTTTCTAGAAAGACCAAATACACCAAAAGCTTAGTGAGCTGTTTATTGTATAATGACCCTAAAAGTAAATTAATTTTTAGCAAAACATAGTTATAAAAAAATATGAACTATTTTTAATACTCAGTTTTATGTCCGTGATGGTTGTGACAAAATTTTGTGTTTTTCCATCAAAGATGCTCTATTAATAAAAAATCAGCAAAGATATTGCTTTACAATGGACATTTTATGAAACTTCAAATGTTAATGAAATAAAAAAAAAATAATAAAAGTTTAAAAAAACAGAACAAAAAATTTTTAAAGTGCTTTTCCTGAAAACATACGTTTAAAAATTTTCACTCTTAATACTATAGTATACAGTAAATTTAAAGAAGCATATTTTATCAAACTGTGTCCTCCCCCATTGCAAACGCAAAGCTTGAGTATAACTGCAATACACATTTTATACTTATATGCCAACCCCGTACGAAGGACGGGTACTCTGCTAGTATTATTATATATGGCTTTTAGGGTGTTTTGCTACCTTAATGGTTAGCGTCCAGACTTTGTAGCGGTAGGGACAGGTTTGATTTCAGGCACATCCACAAAAGGTATGGATTGGGACATTTGAATAACCAACTCTCATATCCTCCCAAAATGCCACCAACATAGATGAAAAATATTTAAAAAAACCTTTTTGCTAACAGTATATATTTTAAATTTCCATGTAATAGGACATTATGACCCTTCCTAAAAATACCACAATTAGTAAAGATTGTTGCAAGTGAGAAAAGGGTTTACATGAAGGTGTGGGGCTTAAGAAACTTCAGAAAGAGTTAAAAATAGAATAGATGTTATACTTATTTAGATTATATAATTTTGAATGGCTTGTAACACCTTGATTTTGAATCATTAAATATTTATGAGCTAGTATAAACAATTGTAATGTTATAACATTATAAAGATTAATCAACCGATAAAAAAAGAAATTGTTATTTATAAAATGTAAATGTCTAATAAAGTATGGTCTTTTTCAGAAGTGACAATATACTTTCCCGGACAAAAGAAAAATAAACTCAAGCTCATCACAGTAAAGCTTCATATAATCTCTTACATACAATACTTTGACCAACAGTGTAAAAGCATTATCTTTTAAACACTATAAACAAAAAATAATAATCATGATTATGCCTTGAATAACAAGAGATTATATATGACAATGAACATTTATTCTGTACGATTTGATAATATCTCCAACCCATCAGTAACAAGATTTGAGCAAGAGATGTCTAAAAATTGAATGAGATCCATATGTAACTAATAGGTATTTAACAAATCCTACAAACAAGAGAAATATTCAAATGGACATACAAAGCATACTGACTAGTTGATGCATCTATTTAGTTACTGGGTTATCTGATAAGTTAGAAAGTGAAAAGTAAAAATGTTAAAGATCATTAAAAAGCTTCCTTATAAGTGTCCAGTTTGTAGATTAATCGTTTCTACTCAGTGGAAAATGAAGTATCATATATTTGAACATACAGGTGAGCGGCCCTTTAAATGTGTTATATGTGAGAAAACCTTTATCCACCTACATCACGTAAAGAGTCATTTGTTGACACACTCTGATGAGAGACCTTTTAAGTGCACTACATGTGGAAAATCCTTTAAAACTAGACACTATATGAAGGAACATACAATGGTTCATACTGGAGAGCGACCTTATGGGTGTGATACATGTGGAAAATCCTTTACAACAAAAATGTCTTTGATAGAACATACAATGGTTCATACTGGAGAGCGACTTTATAAGTGTGATACATGTGGAAAATCCTTTACAGCTAGACGCTATATGAAGCAACATACAATGGTTCATACTGGAGAGCGACCTTATAAGTGTGATACATGTGGAAAATCCTTTACAGCTATACGCTATATGAAGCAACATACAATGGTTCATACTGGAGAGCGACCTTATAAGTGTGATACATGTGGAAAATCCTTTACATCTAGACGCTATATGAAGGAACATACAATGGTTCATAGTGGAGAGCAACCTTATAAGTGCACTACATGTAAGAAATCCTTCTCAACCAAAAACAGCATGAAGCAACATACAATAGTTCATACTGGAGAGCAACCTTATAAGTGCACTACATGTGAGAAATCCTTCACAACCAAAAACTGCATGAAGCAACATACAATGGTTCATACTGGAGAGCGACCTTACGGATGTGATACATGTGGAAAATCCTTTACAACAAAAAAGTCTTTGAAAGAACATACGATGGTTCATACTGGAGAGCGACCTTATAAGTGTGATACATGCGGAAAATCCTTTAGAGCCAAAAGTATTTTGAATACACATACATTGGTTCATAGTGGAGAGCGAACTTATGAGTGTGATACATGCGGAAATTCCTTTACATCAAAAAAGTATTTGAAAGTACATACAATGGTTCATACTGGAGAACGACCTTATAAGTGTGATACATGTGGAAAATCCTTTACAGCCAATTTCAAATTGAAGAAGCATACATTTGTTCATATTGGAGAGCAACCTTAAATTGCTCTACATGAGAGAAATCCTTCAAAACAAAAGCCATATGAAGGAAACTACATTTGCTCATACTAAAGAGTGACAACCTTAGAGTACAATGTATTGTACTGCAATGACAACCAAAGAGTGGCAACAACAGATCAGCAACCTCTATCGATGCTGTTTGCACAAACCTTAATCCTGAAGAAACGAACGTCCTAATTATAAATGCTGGAATTTCTGACCACACTGCTCAGCTGTGCAGCCTTAAACTGCCTGTGAACAGGGCTAATTCAATCAACTCAACTAGAAGACATCTAAACATCAATAACCTTCTTCAGCTGAAAAAAATCTTATCTCTTCAGTCATGGGAAGATGTACTGGGTAGTGATGATGTTAATGAAGCATACAACCGGTCTATTAAAACAACTATTCTAGCACTTGATTCAGCCTGTCCGCGGAAGAGGACAAGAAGACCTAGAAGTTCATGGAAGATGGTCTACGATACAGAGACCATGGAGATGAAGAGGGAGTATCTGGCGGCCCATGACATTTTTCTGTTGACCAATGATTTGGCAGAAAAACAAAGAGCAAGCTACTTCAAAAGATTATATGATCTGAGGCTGAAAGAAATTCGTCATGTTCATAGCACCACCCACATAAAATCCGCTGACAACAAATCCAAAGCAGTTTGGGATATCATCAACAGTGAACGGAAGTTGATTTCATCCCATCCAACTGACTTCTTATTTTTAATTGAACGTATAACATCTTTTACTTCTTTCATTGTTACACCACTGAAACAAAAAACTGGCAAAGAAGGTGGCAAAACCCTGTCAAGGAAACCAAGGGCATCTTCAACACAAGGCACAATATTTAATGAATTGGATGATTGTAAAAATTTAATATTTAAAACGTTAGCAATTTCAGACCCTGATGTCACTTCCTTGTCGTTAACTATCAAGTTTGGAAAATTCTGACATTTTTCAATGTTGCCAAGCTCCGTTTTTACAATATTCCATGCTACTTTGGATTTGTCTGTAGCACTGCTTATTTTAAGCCGGTTACTTAATAGTTTAGCTGCCTTACATACAGATTTAAATATTTTCTTATAATTTTTTACATCATCCAAAAATAACGGATCCACAGATGTTTTTGCTAACTGATGTAGTTGTCTCTTACGTATACTAGATGTTTTAATACCCACAGTTATCCAATCATTTTAGCGAATTTCTCATATAGGGAATAAGCTATTACCGTAGTACTCATGGTAAGACCTGGACGCGGGACCGATTTTTTTTCGTTTTGAGGTCCCTAGAGGCCAAAAACACCATCCGTTAATATTCATATATATATATATATATATATATAAATAGATTCATAAATAGATAAATATAAATAGATTAATTTTACCAACTACAGTACCAATTTATATATGTGTCCGTTAGCACGATAACTCGAGCAAAAATGATCCGATTTTGATGAAATTTGGTACAAACGTGAAAACCTACGTTTATTCGAACGAGTTCGCGATCCAGCATGATCGGACCATGGGAACGGGTGTTTACGGGGGGTTTTATGGGGTAAAAAAAGGTTTTTCCCATTTTTGACCCAAAAAACATAAAATTTAGCAATTTCTTTCCAAACCATTTTGTGGAGCTTAAAAAAACAAATAATTTAGTATATTATGCGCCTAATGGTTACGGAGAAAATTCCAAAAAATTGTAAATTTAAAATTCCTATGTTATTCTTATGGAGAATAAGTAAACTGTTGTAGTTTGCTTGTTTATGAACATATTTTAATCGAATTTGGAAAATATTTACTTTTGAGACGGCTCAAGCTTAAAAAGTTAACATCTTCTGAAATAATTTCTTTTCTAATTTCATGATTTGTTAGGTTTGCTGGGATCTGTTCTGACTCCCCATTGGCCATACCTCCTAAAGTAGTGTTGTATTCTATACTGGATACAATTTCGGTTGTCTTTTCCTTAAAAAATAATGTCCTTTAGGAGAGATGTTTTTAGACATCCTTGGAGTAGATGAAGAAGGCTGAAGAGTGAGTGCAGACTGTATGACACATCCCTCTGATTGGTTGAGCATCTGGTCTTGAACAGTAATCAGTCTCTTTTTCATTTCTTCCATCTCACTTCTATCAGGTGTTTAAAATCCGGAGAAGCCTGTGTCAGGTGAATTTACTTCAGAGGTCCTGTTGGGTACTTTAGTTTGCTGAGGTTGATTAGCATCATTGGTATTGTTTCCAGAGTTCACAGATTCTGGAGTATTTTTGTTGGTACCGGAAATGATCTTCTTCTGAGATTGAATCTGCCCGTCCTTTGTTGAACTGTCAGAAATTAAATAGTCTGTTTTTTCATCTCCCATTCAGGTACTCCACTACAGTTAAATTGATAAATGTTGATAGTCACATCTAGGTCTTGAAAGGTTCTGCTGATGATATTTTTCACACTGCTCCATTTAAGTCCATCAAGTCCACAACCAATCCTTGGCATTGCCAGCTTAGAAACATTAAACTCCTGGCATTTAGCCTTTAGACATCTCAGTGAGCTTTGCAAGGTCTCGTAAGTTGGTTTTCCATAGGTGCAATCTTTTGTTACCAAGTAAAATATGTAACGCCCATCAACATTTAAAGATGCACAGCCACATACATTTACATTCTGTGACTTGAGCTCTGTTACTCCATCAAACTTGAACCTAGCAGCAATTCCTTTTTTTCATTCCAAAATCCCTTGCAACACAATGGGCAAAAGCCTGGTCCATCGGGGCCGCAAACAGATCAGAATGAACTTCATTGATACATTTCTTTGGGAATTGGTTAACATGAAGTGTTGTGCTCCTGACTTCTTTATGAGAGTTTTTCGTGGCTCTCGCATCACTGTTAATCATGTCATAGTTTGTTTTTATGTATTTGCTAATTCTATATTTACCCTTGCTGTTCAGATGAACTCCATCTTTGTAGTAATACTTAGCAGAGAACAATGATCCATCGATGAAATATACATTTTTGTTATTTTGAGCTACATCATTATTTAAGAGGATGTTATAATTCAAAATGTCATTATTAATCCTATGGGAAAGAGGAATGTCTTTGCGGAATGGTAAGCTGATTAAAAACAGAGGTGTTTTCACACTAGGCACCTTCGTTTTTATTCCTGGATACAATGGTTTTACATCACCACTATATATATATCATTTGCTCCAGCAAATAAAACAGTTAAATGGTTATTTCCCCAGGTATGATGATTCTTAGTCAGCTGATCAAATTTTGCATTGGAGAAAGTGGATCCACATATTTGGAAATTACTAGAAAATGTTTCTATGAGCCGTTCTGCAATACCTCTAGCATGGCTGTCTCCTATGACTTCAACTTTTAGAGATTTAAGTTGTTTTATGTCATTATTTGGAATGTTTGAGTTGTCCTGTCTTCCCTTTCCTAAGGTAATAAAATTTCTTGAATTTTCCTCTAGATTGGAGGTTGCATCACAACTGATTGAGGCAACCTTTGGATCACATTCTTTATCATTTGACTGGGTACTTTGTAGCTCACCTTGTGTCAACGTTAACAGTGGTTCAAATCTATTTTGCGTTGAAATAACCGATGGTTTGTATAGTTTATGTTTGTCACTTCTCATCTTAAGTTTTCGTTTAGCAACTGAATAGACCTGTTCACTAGGTATTCTAGTTTTTTGAGAATCTTCATCAATTAGCTCAGTATTATGTTGTTCCTTTTGTTTGAGTGACATACTTTTTACAACTGAATTTTCCACAACACCAATGCTACCGATAGCTGGAGTTATTCTGTCATATTTTAAAATGTTTTTAATCACTAAATGTGCATTCACAAGTGAACTAAGACCACATTCAAACGAGTTTGGTTGTTGCTTGCATGGGAATTCTTCAACATTATTATCAGCAAACGCCAAGTTTTTGGCAACTCTGAGAGCAGCATCCTTGTTATTTCCTAGAACTGAATCCCAGTGGTACGCTTTGTTGGTCTGACGATCACAGGTCAGTAAACTCCAATGAGAACCTGAATCAGGTGTAGTTACGTCTACGCTGTTATTTATGCATAGCAAGATGAAGCGTTTGGATGAAAATGATAAGAGCTCAAGCTGGCTTTGTATGTCCTTTGTAGCTCCAACTTTGAGAAGTTGCGTTATCGCAGGATCAAGCTCAAGAATGTCTAATCGGCCATTAGTACTGTTTTGAAGAGAATTAAAATATACCTGCATAATGTCATCTGCAAACCATAGATCAACATCTTTCACAGGTTGCTTGAGTTGTTCCTTTTGAAATGTAAGTTTGAATTTAAGATCGGCGTTTTCCTCTTTTTGTTTATAAATGATATCATTTTTTTCATGTAAAGCAGTTTGCAATTCATTATATTTTTTCCATTTCTGTGCATCATATTCATTTTTAAAATTAACTGTGCCAGATTTGTCAATAAAGGTGTATCTTTTACTTCATCATAGTTTGCAACAATGGTAGTAATGTCCTTATAAAGAGATGATAATAAAAGTTCAGATTCTTCATCCAGATCAGTAACATTGTACAGACAGGAGTCATCAGACAATAGATATAGTTTTTTCATCCATAGGTCAATGTCATATAGTATGAAACGATTTACAATAAAGCACAATTTGTTAATTAGGAATAGTTTGAAAAACAAATAACTCGATTTTACTTGTGGTTAGGAACAATGAGTTATAATCTATTGTTGTCAGTTTATCTAGTTCAGCTCAGATAACAGACATGAACTTTGTAGTCTGTAGTTGCCACAACTGATAACATGTAGTTGCCGTGAAGATCAGTTTGTTTTTAATGTTTCTCCAGGAAATTACTACTCTAACCAAACTGACAAATATTTTTAATTTTTTTTTTAGTTTTTATGAGTAAAATAATATCTCTTTAAGTTTTCAATTTATTTATATGTGAGTAAAATTATTGTATTTTACACTAACTTTCTTGAAGCAGTACCAATAATGATATTCTGTACAGTTAAATATGAGCTTCAAAACATGTGCTTTACTACATACTGGAAAGTGAGTACTTTAATTTGTTAATATCAAAGTTTAAAAAAAAATAAAATATAAGATTGATTATTCAGTAACTAGAATAGTACTTCACCAATGTTTTTACTGCATGCATGTAACATTTAACTTTTTTAATTCACTAGATACTCTAAAAACACTCACTCCTTAGAAGTTAACTGAAGTTATCATTACTGACCCTGAAAATGAAAACGCATTTGAGTAAAACATTGTTGAGCAATCCATCATGAATTGTTTACGCTTTACGTTGTTTATGTATCAATACTGTAGTTCATTGCCTGTGTGTTGTAAATTACTAAACTAAATCGTATTTAGTACTTCATTTCATATAGTTAGTAGTCATTTCGTCATCTTCTGACTAAGCAAATATAAATTGTTATGATAAAGTTTAAAACCACACAAAAGTATTGTGACACTAAAGTATTATTGAGCGGAGCAAAGCGAAGCTCTTTGGGATCAACTTCAATGCAATCTTTATAACATTTATTCTCAATAACGGCTGAACATATTTCAGCCAAACTTACCAAGGTTGTTTTGTCAAATGTTTAGATGGTTTAGACGTAACCAATTTCAATTTTTGATAATGCCTATATAGTTTTAAAGTAACTCAAGAGTTTTTAAATTTTAACATTGGTCTTATGGGTTGCCATGATGGTTACAAAATAACAACGTAAATGTAAACAAAACAAAGAATTATAGCATATGTTAAAATCAAGCCACAACCTAAACACAGTACAAAGGAAAAAAATTTTGACAATGACAACTGATCAAATAATACGGAGAACGTCTTAGGTTTACATTAAAGTCTCAATTTGGAAACAATCACTGATCGAATAGGTACAGTCATAGATAAAACATATTCTTTCTTAGGTTCAGTATTTAACAGTTTTGATTTACATAGCTAAATAACGTTATAACAAATAACATTTTATCTTAAATAATTCGTAGGTTGAATCACTCTCATGGATTCATCTCATAAATGGCAAACTTAAACAGATCCACACGTAGGAAGTAGTGTAGGCCTAATAGCGAGAAGTGCAGAGTGTGGGAAACGTTTGTGGCAGTTAGATAATTGTATCTAAAATACTAAAATGCTATTGGAAGGGGGGAAACACGTTCTAACAGTAGGAAGTTGCGAAGGAAGTAGTAAAGGCTGGCAGTGCGGAGTGTGGGAACTGTTTGTGGCGGTTACATTAATGTATTAGCAATACTAAAATGTTATGGGAAGGGAGGGAAACAGATCCACGACAATAAGATTCAATAAGTTTCAATAAGATTTATTGCAGCCATTAAACATAACATTTTGTAATAGGCATTGTTACAATAGTACATAAAAATAGATCATACATCAATTATAAATTTAAATATATACAATATCCTATTTAGAATCTAAACTAAACATGACATGTCACTATTTAAAAATTCTTCCTGCGTGTAGAATGCTTTTGATTTAAAAAACTCAGTAATTTTTCTTTTAAATTGGTTTAAAGGTAGTTCACGAAAACAAGTGGGTAGCTTGTTGAAGAAAATATGTTGATTGTAAAAATGGCTATTTAAAGTTTTTGAAAGTCTGATTTGAGGTGTGACTAGGTTGTTTTTGTGCCTCGTGTTGTATGGATGGGAATATCTAGAAAATTTTAAGGGGTTGTTTTTTATATGAATTAAATTACAAAGAATGTACATAGATGGCAGTGTAAGTAAATTTAAATTGGAAAAGTGATCCCTACAGGATTCATGATCTTGCAATCCTAGCATGGCTCTAAGAGCTTTCTTTTGCCAAACAAATGCTTTCTGAGCTAAGTGTGAACCACCCCAGAGACGCAAACCATAAAGCAGCTGTGAGTGAAACAAACCGTAGTAAGTCATTACCAAAGTGTTAAAACTCACACATGATCCAAGTTTTCTCAAGAGACAGGTTATTCTAGCCAATCTTTTACAAAGTTGTGTAATGTGGTTAGCGTACCACTGGGATTCAGTTCTAGGAAATAACAAGGATGCTGCTCTCAGAGTTGCCAAAAACTTGGCGTTTGCTGATAATAATGTTGAAGAATTCCCATGCAAGCAACAACCAAACTCGTTTGAATGTGGTCTTAGTTCACTTGTGAATGCACATTTAGTGATTAAAAACATTTTAAAATATGACAGAATAACTCCAGCTATCGGTAGCATTGGTGTTGTGGAAAATTCAGTTGTAAAAAGTATGTCACTCAAACAAAAGGAACAACATAATACTGAGCTAATTGATGAAGATTCTCAAAAAACTAGAATACCTAGTGAACAGGTCTATTCAGTTGCTAAACGAAAACTTAAGATGAGAAGTGACAAACATAAACTATACAAACCATCGGTTATTTCAACGCAAAATAGATTTGAACCACTGTTAACGTTGACACAAGGTGAGCTACAAAGTACCCAGTCAAATGATAAAGAATGTGATCCAAAGGTTGCCTCAATCAGTTGTGATGCAACCTCCAATCTAGAGGAAAATTCAAGAAATTTTATTACCTTAGGAAAGGGAAGACAGGACAACTCAAACATTCCAAATAATGACATAAAACAACTTAAATCTCTAAAAGTTGAAGTCATAGGAGACAGCCATGCTAGAGGTATTGCAGAACGGCTCATAGAAACATTTTCTAGTAATTTCCAAATATGTGGATCCACTTTCTCCAATGCAAAATTTGATCAGCTGACTAAGAATCATCATACCTGGGGAAATAACCATTTAACTGTTTTATTTGCTGGAGCAAATGATATATATATAGTGGTGATGTAAAACCATTGTATCCAGGAATAAAAACGAAGGTGCCTAGTGTGAAAACACCTCTGTTTTTAATCAGCTTACCATTCCGCAAAGACATTCCTCTTTCCCATATGATTAATAATGACATTTTGAATTATAACATCCTCTTAAATAATGATGTAGCTCAAAATAACAAAAATGTATATTTCATCGATGGATCATTGTTCTCTGCTAAGTATTACTACAAAGATGGAGTTCATCTGAACAGCAAGGGTAAATATAGAATTAGCAAATACATAAAAACAAACTATGACATGATTAACAGTGATGCGAGAGCCACGAAAAACTCTCATAAAGAAGTCAGGAGCACAACACTTCATGTTAACCAATTCCCAAAGAAATGTATCAATGAAGTTCATTCTGATCTGTTTGCGGCCCCGATGGACCAGGCTTTTGCCCATTGTGTTGCAAGGGATTTTGGAATGAAAAAAAGGAATTGCTGCTAGGTTCAAGTTTGATGGAGTAACAGAGCTCAAGTCACAGAATGTAAATGTATGTGGCTGTGCATCTTTAAATGTTGATGGGCGTTACATATTTTACTTGGTAACAAAAGATTGCACCTATGGAAAACCAACTTACGAGACCTTGCAAAGCTCACTGAGATGTCTAAAGGCTAAATGCCAGGAGTTTAATGTTTCTAAGCTGGCAATGCCAAGGATTGGTTGTGGACTTGATGGACTTAAATGGAGCAGTGTGAAAAATATCATCAGCAGAACCTTTCAAGACCTAGATGTGACTATCAACATTTATCAATTTAACTGTAGTGGAGTACCTGAATGGGAGATGAAAAAACAGACTATTTAATTTCTGACAGTTCAACAAAGGACGGGCAGATTCAATCTCAGAAGAAGATCATTTCCGGTACCAACAAAAATACTCCAGAATCTGTGAACTCTGGAAACAATACCAATGATGCTAATCAACCTCAGCAAACTAAAGTACCCAACAGGACCTCTGAAGTAAATTCACCTGACACAGGCTTCTCCGGATTTTAAACACCTGATAGAAGTGAGATGGAAGAAATGAAAAAGAGACTGATTACTGTTCAAGACCAGATGCTCAACCAATCAGAGGGATGTGTCATACAGTCTGCACTCACTCTTCAGCCTTCTTCATCTACTCCAAGGATGTCTAAAAACATCTCTCCTAAAGGACATTATTTTTTAAGGAAAAGACAACCGAAATTGTATCCAGTATAGAATACAACACTACTTTAGGAGGTATGGCCAATGGGGAGTCAGAACAGATCCCAGCAAACCTAACAAATCATGAAATTAGAAAAGAAATTATTTCAGAAGATGTTAACTTTTTAAGCTTGAGCCGTCTCAAAAGTAAATATTTTCCAAATTCGATTAAAATATGTTCATAAACAAGCAAACTACAACAGTTTACTTATTCTCCATAAGAATAACATAGGAATTTTAAATTTACAATTTTTTGGAATTTTCTCCGTAACCATTAGGCGCATAATATACTAAATTATTTGTTTTTTTAAGCTCCACAAAATGGTTTGGAAAGAAATTGCTAAATTTTATGTTTTTTGGGTCAAAAATGGGAAAAACCTTTTTTTACCCCATAAAACCCCCCGTAAACACCCGTTCCCATGGTCCGATCATGCTGGATCGCGAACTCGTTCGAATAAACGTAGGTTTTCACGTTTGTACCAAATTTCATCAAAATCGGATCATTTTTGCTCGAGTTATCGTGCTAACGGACACATATATAAATTGGTACTGTAGTTGGTAAAATTAATCTATTTATATTTATCTATTTATGAATCTATTTATATATATATATATATATATGAATATTAACGGATGGTGTTTTTGGCCTCTAGGGACCTCAAAACGAAAAAAAATCGGTCCCGCGTCCAGGTCTTACCATGAGTACTACGGTAATAGCTTATTCCCTATATGAGAAATTCGCTAAAATGATTGGATAACTGTGGGTATTAAAACATCTAGTATACGTAAGAGACAACTACATCAGTTAGCAAAAACATCTGTGGATCCGTTATTTTTGGATGATGTAAAAAATTATAAGAAAATATTTAAATCTGTATGTAAGGCAGCTAAACTATTAAGTAACCGGCTTAAAATAAGCAGTGCTACAGACAAATCCAAAGTAGCATGGAATATTGTAAAAACGGAGCTTGGCAACATTGAAAAATGTCAGAATTTTCCAAACT